TCAGAAAGGTATGTAAATCAACGATTGCCATTACTATGGCGTTGCACTAAGGGTCATTTATGGAATGCATCCTTTAATAACGTAAAAAATCATAGTAAATGGTGTCCATATTGTGCAGGAAATGTCCGTCTTACTCTTGAGGATGCTAGGCAAATTGCACTTAGCCGAAATGGTAGATGTCTTTCAACTGCATATAGCAATTCTAAAACTCCGATGACATGGAAATGCCATCAAGGACATATTTGGAATAGTTCGTTTAATCACGTTAAAAATTCTGGTTCATGGTGCTCATATTGTGCGGGTATCGCAAAACTAACCCTTGAGGATGCAAAGCAAATTGCACGATCTAGGGGCGGGGAATGTCTTTCAACCGAGTATAGAAATATAGACGAACCACTTACATGGTGTTGCCAATTTAGCCATCAATGGCAAAATACATTTTATCACATTAAAATAGAGAGCAATGGTGTCCATTTTGCATTGGTCGTTATCAAACAATTGAGGATATGCGTAAACTTGCACGAAAAAAAAATAGAGATTGTCTTTCAAATCGATACTATAATTCACACAAAAAGCTAGAATGGGTTTGTGAAAACAAACATCGATGGGAAGCTATTCCTAATAGTATTCAACAAGGAACTTGGTGTCCATTCTGTCCAAAATATAAGAGAGAAAAGCTATGTCATGAGATTTTAAAAAAATATCTTGGCGCCCCTTCACTAATCCGCAGGCCCGAATTCTTAAAAACACGAGAATATCCAAATAGACTAGAACTTGATATATTTTATCCGCAATATGGCTTTGCAATCGAAGTACAAGGCATACAATACGAAAAATATCACAAATTCTTTCACGGAGGAAATCCCAATAATTTTATCAAACAGCAAGCACGAGATCAACTCAAGAAAGAATTATGCGAAGAAAACTGGATTGCACTAAGGTATGTTTGGTATTATGAAGACCCATATATAGTTATTCCTGAGCATCTTCGAGAATTGGGTCTTATTGAGTAAACTTAAGACTTTAAATGCTTTTGTGATATGATGTGTTTTGCAAATGACGTTCTGCTTTATTATTTCAATGTTTAACATAAATTTTACATATTTTTATGCTATAGCCACATCACGTGAGTAGTCTTAAGTGCTTTTCTCGTTTTTCTTGGAAGAGACTGCAAGAAAAAAAAATCATAATGATTAAATATAAAGATTCAGGAAACTAAGAGATATATTAAATGATCGTTACCCTCTTTTTTCTTTTGGAGCCACTATAGGACTCAATTTGACAGATTTGTTAATATGAAAATCTTGCGTATTCTCTACATTTTCTCTGAAAACTTGCGAAAGTCTAATAGCCGTTTGAGTTAGATTGGATGTTCGGTTTAGAAGATTCTACAAAATATCTTAGTCAGAAGTTAAGAAAAAAAA